AGGTGTGTGTTTTGAGTGCAACCGCAGTGAGCTGCATCTATTTCCTCCCGGCGTGAATCTTACACACGATTTGCTTCTTGATCTCCTCTCGTCTCAGCTGTATTCCAGCCGGAATGTCGAATTAAACTTTACGATTTTGACGAAAGTGCGGCTTAGTCGCGCGCGCGCGCCTGCGTAAAGCCGACGCCGACGACACGTGTCGAACGAGAGCGAATAATGCCGCTCATATTTTAATTAAAAGCGAACGTGTAATCAACTCGGCCGAGATCGTGAACCTTTATGGCTTACGCGGTCGACTTTGAAAATGAGACATTGCTGTAATGCTCGTATATACGCATACGTAGAAAGCAACGCGAAGCCTATTATCGTCCATCAGTCGTAGGAAAAGCTCTCCCTCCCCCTCTCCTCTCTCTCTCTCTCATCTCTATCATCCGCCCGCAAGATTCTCCATCCACTTCCCAGTCGTCTTTCACTGTTTCTCGCCATTCCGTCTTCGCGTTTCTACCCCGCACCGCGGTTCACGGCCGGATTGTAATGATTAGTATAACGAGGAGATCCGCGCCAGGGCTTACGAGTAAGCGCGGATACCGGGAATTGCTCCGCTTTTAATTATCGCCCAGAGCTGGCTGTGTACACCGGCGCCTTAATGCACCATAGTGCTTAACGAGTAATACGTCGTTATCAACGCCGATGTGGACGAGGGAAAGGAGGCTTCAAGTCGTTAATAAGAAGTTCTGGTTTAGATAACCAAAATATAAGAAGTTTTTTTTAAATAAATTAATAAAAATATCAATACAAGGTTTGACCATACTCTGTCATTGTTTTAAATTTCAAGAACATTAAGCACGGAGAAAACACTATCGCTTGCCATAACAAAATATTAATATAAAATATAAAAATATTAATATACATATAATGTATAAAAATATTAATATACATATGGTAGCTATAACAAAATGTTAATGTTAGTTTTCGCCCATGTGTACAAGATGATTGTAGCAATTATAGCAACCATAGTGTTCTAGAAGTGGCACACTTCTTTACTGCCTATCCATATGTGTTTAAGCAGTACTCTCAATGCTACATGATGCAACCAAACTCTATAGATTTCTCAACCATAATATTTATTCTGCAGACCAGAATAGAGACACAGCAATATTTCTTTAGTTGAGACAACTATGTATATGAGGATATATTAACTGAACATTATAATCAGAAGAACTATATATAGATGAGTATGTAATAACAGTAACTTTTAATACCACATCTATTTCACTTGAAATCCCATAAATTTTCTCTAGCCATAGAATATGTGTATAGCAACCATAGTAGTTTTCTCCGTGAGATAGTTGAAATTCTGTCTAGTTCTTTTTTTGTGTTGTGATGTCGAACGTCTTTAATTGGAAAATATTACATAACTTTTCCTTTCTTTTTTATTTAATGTCCCGGAAAAATACCAATTTTGGAAATTTTCCAAACGATTTAACACAGTTTAAAAATTTCTTTGTCCTATTTAGTCCCGTTTAGTTCTAAACTTAGATACGAATGTTTCACTAGAGACAAGCTTCAAATAACGATTATTAACACGGAGTACTGTGAGACAGAAGAAGCACTTGACTTAGCACACCTTTGTCCTTGTCATCAGCCGTAAAAGTACGCAGTTTATTCTACGAATCTATCTGCTTCGTGTAAAGCGGCGTCCTCGCATTCGTCGCGAACTCCGCAGTCGAAGTTATCGCAGCCGCTACTTCGCGGGATGATCGTGCGCGCGGAGTAGACGCGCGATGGACGCGCTGTTTGTAAGTGGATTATGTTTATAATGGGGTGTTCTCCAAGCTCGTTCGGAATATATCGCGAATACCGTGCGCCGAAGTAAATCATGTTCGTATCCACTTGAACCGCATCGCCTGGATTCCCGCCAATGTACATTCTATCCGACAAATTGTGCGCGCGATGTGACTTTCGCCGGAGTTCGGCCACTCGCATGTATAGAAACAGTATTGTATATTTATCTGCTCCGCAATGCGGGGATTTCACGAGTGCGTTACGGACTTGGCGCGGAGTACGCGAAGTTCATTCACTTTTGGAACGTGTAATTGCGAAAATGACACGAACGGACGAGTGGTGTTGTACGATCGATACGTTTTTACGGTTTTACCGCCCGCGACGCGGTTTTCTAAGGAAAGTTGATTCACATCACGTAAGTAATACATCTATACTCTCTTAAAATGAATAAGTGAAACATTACTGAAAACAGTGAATATATACTGATTCGCAGTTATAAGTGTTGCACTGAAAGTGCTCAGTGTTATACGTATAACTGACTATTCACTGATTCACTTTAAGAGAACACTGAGACTATTTATCCTATTATTTTCTCTGTGTGTTTATGAAAAAAATATATGAATTTTGTAGAAAATGTCTGGCCGTTGTTTCAAATTGCACAAATAGAAGTAAGAAAGGTTTTTTAATGTAATGTTTCCTATTGAATATGAGCAGCGGAAAGAAAGTGTTCAACGGTGAAACTAAGACTACAGCATTGTGTATGTGTGTGTGAAGAAATTATATATAATATGTTTATTATTAAATTCCAATATATAAATTTGTATTTTCAGCAAATAACAACTGTTAAAAAGACGAGTTTGTTTCTTTATTTTTATATTTTTTATACTTTTGTATAATAGTACATACACATACACGTATACGTAAAGAATCGTGGCGCATTGAGAAAAAATTATAGTTACTTTCGGCGTCACTTGTACTTTTTGGTGATTTTAACCACAAAAATAATTAGAAAAAACATCTTTCTAATAACACTTACTAAAACAATGGTTTTTATAATTATTTTTATGGTTAAAATTACAAGAGACTATAATTGACACCGAAAGCAACTATAATTTTCTCTCAGCTTACTGGCTCCGCCATATTTTATCCAAGTCAATAAAAAATAAAAGAACTCCGTATTATAGCAACTCTAAATACGCCGTGCTTTCCGCGCCCCGCGGAAACTGCTGTGATTGAACGTCCTCTTTCATCTGTTCTCGATATGATCGTGCTATGGCGCTCGTCGCCCGATGCGGAGCGCGATTCTTTCGGTAATTTATTGGCCGTAGATCAACGTCGGCGTACGCTATTTCGGCTCACCCTTACGTCCCCGGCCGGGACAATGTCGAGGATCGACGCCGTTTCTGGCCATGACACTCCCGGGAAACGGCACGCGACGTCCGCAGGAGATCGATCGTTAGGTCCGACGCGTTTCGGACGATTGACCGTGCAAACGAACCACTTCCTGCGTCGTGATCGTATCTACCGACGTGCACGAAAATGCACCGGTGCGAGAGGGAGAGGAGACGGGTGGGCGGAACGGAGTGTCGCGAGAGGATGCACACGCTCGTGAAGCTAATTTTCCCAAAATAGTTTGGCGCAAGGAGTACATCTGGAGTTCCTCAAATCAGAGTTAGGACACCGTCCGCCATTTGTAGGGAGAAAGTGAGTGAGTGAGAGAGAAACTACAGCGTGCTTCTTCATTTCAATCTTAAGTCTATCGCATACAAAATAACATAGCTACATAGCATAAAACTAATGAGTTTTACAGATCAATAAGACAACTTTATCCTAAGATTGAGATGAAAAAGCACGTTAGTTTCTCTCTCATTCATCATTCACTTTCTCCTTATATATGGCGGACGGTATCCAAACTCTGACTTGAGGAACTCTAGATATTACAGTTTCTCCCTCATTTCTACTAGAGTTTCTCTCTCTCTCTCTCTCTCTCTCTTTCACTTTCACTTATATTATTTCTCAAAATGGCGGACAAAATGCAGACTAATTAGGAATTATACTTTGCCCTAACTCTGAGTAGAGGAGCTTTAAATACACCGAGTCGCGTTTCGAAATCGCCGTGGTATGTCACGCGTATCCGTTATCGTGTGAAACAAACGTTTTAAATATAAAAAAAAAGAGAAAACAGGAAGAGGGAGAGGACCCTCGCGTTATTTTCACTCAAACGGAAGTCTTTCCTTCCTTCGACCCCGAATATTGACCTTATTCCGGCACGTTTGTAGCACCTTCCGACTGCGTTACGAGGGGCCACGGCAGTCGCGCAACACACCGAGCTTGCAAAATGTGAAGTGCGCACTCGTGATGCCTCTCGTAAGGTCGAGCGTGTCGAGCGGTCGTCCATAAGAAAGAGGACGCTCGCCAAAAGGAACAATCGTGCGGATTTCCCTCGAAAGACGCACAATTATGGCACGTTCGGAACGGAATTTTTCCGTCTCTCGGCAACGTAATGAGAATACATTTAGTATTTTGGAATAACAAAATAATCTTGAAACAAACATCATGCATACTTATCGGATGAAACATCCAATTATTGCCATCACCTTAGTCATTGGAGACTCTCTCTTAGCTATTTCAGAAAGAAACCTAATTTTTTTTGCAATCAATATTGCAGTTAAACTTCTTACCTGCACTAAAAAAAACTCTTGCTGAACAAGCTAAAATTCTAAATGTCACAGTTAAAATTTATCAGCTTTTTTATCAGTTAAAAAATTGTCTGTGGTACGTATAGAATTTACAGCATTTTAACAATATCTGCAAGAGCAAATTTAGTTGGGTATAAGAATTACATATTCATTTATCTCTCGTCACTAGTCTTTTTTTTACCACTTTTATCTACTACACTCCATATACATCAGATTCGCCCTCAATGTCGAGTGAAAATGCTCACTCGACAATTCAGAATGGGGAATTTATTTATTTATTGAATTTTTTCAATCTATATGAAAGCGAAAAGTCGCTTGAATTCGAGTGATTTAGTGATCACTCTACTCTTTGAATGAAATTTTACTTCGAGAAATTTAAAGAGTTTATTTATAGATAGATAGATATAGATATATGTTATCAACAATTTTATTACAGCTTGTGAATTATTTTCGATACTAACCTATCTATTCTCTAATCTATCTATTATCTAACCTATTTATTCTCTTGTGTTTCAGAGAGACGCCTTAAATCTGGAACCTAGCAATGTTGCGAATTGCGTGTCCAGAGGCAAATCGGAGGTAAGTTTTTCCGCCGCACGGTTGGATTCGCGCTCTCTTTTTCTCCGTTCGCGTTGCGCTTCGCGCCTTACCGTCTTTGAAAAGAATTTTAATTCCGCTACTGGCAAACTGGCCCGAATGCGTCCTGAAACCAAAGCATCGCGGAATTGTGATTGCAAAGAAAGACGTCGAACGTAACGTCGAGAAGTAGGAAAGGAGTCACAAACAGCAAACATGCTAAAATAAAAGGACTGGCTTCTTTGAGGACGCGCAAAGGCAAAACAGAAGACGCGGGCTTGCTCTTTAATAGACACCGCGATGTCGCTAGAATCCGTAATAAGAACGTATCTCGTTTATATCCTCGGCGCGAACAGATATCACCGCACCACTCGGTAGTCCTCCTCTTTCCGCTCAGTAATCCGAGAACGGTCAATGTTCTCACCGTGCATTGCGCTCTAATTTCCGAGCACCGGTACTTTTAAAGTTCATCTCTTTAAGATCAGCTCATTTTATTTAACGGGCAGAATCTCGCGCAGTAGTTGTGTTGGAGAAGCCATCGTCCGATATTTCTGTCGAAAATGAAGGTTAATCCTTGGTGGCTCTACGTGGGTATTCCGAGTCCGAACGGTTTCTATTCATAGAAATTTCTTCCGCACGTTGAGGGGTTTTGGATTTTCTGCCCCTTTCTAAAACATGCACAGTGAAGAATAGATATTTGTTCTAAAAACTTGAAAGTATATCCGTGAATTTTGACAGATTTTTCGATTTAAAGATATGATAAAAGGGCCGGACTCGAAAGGCTGTAGGGCCACATGTGCTTCACATAAGCCACTAAGGGTTAATCGAGGGACGTGCAACGCTCCGCGTCCATTTTTACTCATACTTTAGAGTCGTGCGCGTTGCACGACCGATGGAACGCGGCCACGCTCTCGCAGGAGCCACGTTTGCCCTCGCAGACGCGCAGGAGCGTGCGCGCTTATCACGGCTTCATTCGTATGCACCGTGTACGCGTCGTCGTCGAGGTGTAAGGTCCACGCAAATATTCCCTACGTGACGACAAAGCCAATTCATTTCTCGCGCACCGATTCGCCGCGAAATACGCGCGCGACGTGATCGACCGCGCAACTCTCCGCGCTACGACGCGCTCTTTCGCTTCTCCCGAAAAGTCCGAAGAGAGTGCGACAGCATACTGAACTGTCGTCATTTCTACGCACGTTGTTGCGTCGCGTTGCGCTACACTCTCTCTCTGCGACTATTCTCCATTTCTCTCTCTCTCTCTCTCTCTTCTCTCTCGCCGTCGCCATCGCACGTTGCGCTACCAAATTTAATTTTCGCTTCCTCCTTTTTTTCCAGCATTTCGACTGCCGAAACCATATAAGAGTGATACAGCCAATGGGAGACGGCAATCGGCTTTACATGTGCGGTACGAACGCGCATTCGCCCAAGGACTGGGTGATTTATGTAAGTTATCCATGTATTGTGTCAGTCGCGAGATTTGATGTAACACGCATGCTTTTAGGAATGATCGTACACGGAAAAAAATAATTTGTTGCAGCAGCAAACTAATTTGCTACATACGGACAGTTAAATATAATTCGCTGTGTTAGCTACTTTTTTTGCTGCAGGAACCTATTTTCTTGCCATGATAATAAGAAAATCTACTCTTACAGCAAGAAAAGTGGCTAACGTAGTTGTTGAAAATGGGCAACTAAACATAATTTACTACTTTAGCTACTTTTTTTGTTAAAGGAACAAATTTTCTTGTTATTATAGTAAAAAAATTAGCTCCTGCTGCAAAGAAAAGTGGCTAATACAGCAAATTATGTTTAGTTGTCCATATCTAGCAGATCTTTTTTTTCCATGAAGTTATTTCCCTGATATTTTAAATGTTATTAGAATGTACAGAGAGAACTGTTATGGTTGCTGCAATCATACAATCTTTATGGTTTGAAAAGTAATTTATGCGGATTTAAGTTAAACAGATATTGCATTAAAAATTGCTAAATGCTCATCTATACAGCTCTCACGATTATGGTTCTTATGATACGTAATGTTCAGTTAGTACATCCTCATATATAGTTGCCCCAATCGGAAAATATTGTTGTAATCTGCATTAATACTATACACAGATCAATATTTTACTGCGAAAGAAAAGCGATTATTCAGTCCATTTTCCTTCTTTTAAGTAATGGCTGCTTTTAACAAAGAACATTTTTTTGATAGTAGTTTTAAAATATACTCATCACGAATTTGAGAAAAGTTCATTACCATGTATTCAAAGGAGGAGTTTATTCTCTTTAAGAATATGATAAAAGTGTATTCAAGAAAAAGTTAGGTTCGACTCTATGCAGTGAACAAACCAAATTTTGTTTTAATTTAATATTCTTGATTGAAATGCTAAGCTCACTAGGGTTCGGGATCGTCGAGTGAATATTTTCGCTCGAAATTGAAGGGTGAATCTGACGTACTCCATTGGACACAGAAACACATTCACTCTAATCGATTAAAACATATCGCTCATATGGAGTGAGAATCCACTCTAAGCCTGAGTGAAACATTCACCCTTGCGATTTCGAGTATTTTCACTGTCGCTCCGGGCAAAATTACTGCGTTTTTTATTCGTTTCGAGTGAGATTCCACTCGAAGAAATTTCGGGAATGACGCGAAAGATTGATCGTCGTTTTTATTTTGCCGATCATCTGGTGGAAACAGAAATATCTCGTTGTGCTTCCTCGCGTATCGCCCGACTCTTTTATACTGTATAAATTGCAACGTATATTAAATAAATCTGCTAGATTTTGTTTTGTAACGTAACACGCGACAGTTCGTGATTGGTTTGCGAAATTGTTAAAAATAACGATCGGCTTGACAAAGAGGTAAAAAAATGCCTATGTTTAAACGGCCGCTGACGTTTGTTTATTGAAAATGTAAAACGATACATCGAATGCGCTCGCAACTTCCCTTGAAATGTATTACGGATTCAGCGCGATACGCGCGAGGCATACCGCGCGCCTCGTGCTGCTTTACGCTTAATTTAATTAATTAATAGCGGGGCGCGCGAGGAAGCATCTGAAAATAATATCGTTAATTAATTTTCACGTTACGAATAAATTTCGCCGCCACTCACGCATTCCTATGATACGTTCCAATTTAATTCCCGTCGAAATATTTAAAGCCGTAATGAATAATGCTGTTATTAATGGAAATTTACATGTGTTATCGCACCGGTGAAATCCGCGCGATACGATTTGCAAAAGTCTCCCGGCCCGCCGCATCGAAACACGCCGATGCACGCGGTTGTCTGCAATCTTGCGTTCAAGTATCCGTGCAACGACGCAGAAAGATGCGTGTGTGCGTCGTGCCCGAGCAGTGTAACAACAACCGGTCGCTCACCTGAACCGCTGTCCGACATAGTTATACAGTTACCGAATAAAGTTAGATCACCGGAAGATATTTAGCATCGTATGAGGATGTTGCGGAGCGTAACGTAAATCTGGCGAGCTATTCCTATCGGCAGTAATACCATCAACTTAATTACACGGCGCGCCCGTCGGGATCGTCGCTGTTTCTTTCATCCGCGAATTCTTTTGACCGACTTAAAGGCGGCTTGTGTTTCTTGAAAAGAAAAAAATAAAAAGGAAATTTAATTAAACGCCGTCCCGTTTCATAACTTTATTGGCCCTCGAATGAAGTAGCCTGGTAATTCGGATTTAAAGAAACCTCTTTCGCTCCGCACAGCCCATCCCTCTTTTTTAATTTATAGCGGATCTCATTGTTACACGCTTAGCCACTCCGTCTGACCCCGTCGTCCTCGAATGACGTTTTTTCCAGAGCAATCTGACTCACTTACCGCGCCACGAGTTTGTCCCGGGGGTGGGAATGGGCATCGCCAAGTGCCCTTACGACCCTGCGGACAATTCGACGGCGGTCTGGGTCGAAAAGGGCAATCCCGGGGACCTGCCGGCTCTTTATTCCGGCACGAACGCCGAGTTCACCAAAGCCGATACCGTAATCTTTCGCACGGATCTCTACAATTTGACTACCGGCCGCAAGGCATTCAGCTTCAAGAGGACGCTGAAATACGACTCCAAATGGCTCGACAGTGAGTACTCCATCTTTTTTCTCTCTTTCCTCTTAACGAGTGTCATTGTCGCTGAAGATACCTAATGGACTAACTGATACTTCCGTTGATTCGATATCGAATGGAACAGTACGTAACAACTCGGTAATACTTGGCTCGAACTTCGCTAGTTATTTCTTTCGATAAAGTAAATTATTTTCCGTAATCGCGTCTCCCTCTTATCGCTATCGATCGTCATGTTCACCACCACCACCTCTCTGGCGCCGCTACTACTAAATATACTTAGACCGTGGGCGCTTCATAGAGGAACGTTCACTCGAGAAGCCTGATAATTAAACGGCGTGTCGGGGCAACAATGAAATTTCCATTAGGCTCAGGCGGGGGGCGTAGCACTAACGGGGGACGCGCGGGGGTCGGCTGGATCGTCTAAAAAGCAAGGCGAGATCTCTCCTCCGAAGAAACCGCTCGGGGAAGGGCGCTGCTTAGGAAATAGACGGAGAGTGCTTTGAAGTAGGACCCCGCCGTTGGTCGGGAACACGCTACGGGTCCAAATGGATGCGAATAAACTGCCCCGCCCATTTTCCGAGGGCACCGTTTGCCTTTCGCGCCGACGGCGCGCCGAGGACCCGCGCTCGGGAAATCGGGGGAATCGGAGGCGGCAGGGTGTGGGGTCACGAGTGGAATTATAGGAGTTTGGAGGGTGATGTCGGCACTAGGTGCGCTATCGGGCCGGTTAGAGAGGGTGCCGGATCTCTCCACGAGCGGGGTAATAAAATAACACCCCGACGCGATCTTTCTCGTCCTAAACGCGAAGAAACGCTCTCCGAGTGCCTTCACCTTTTCTTGAGCAAGAAGACGAGAAAGAGAGAGAGAGAGAGAGAGAGAGAGAGAGGGGGAGAGCAGAAGGAAGGGGTGGAGTAAGCGAGCCGACCGAGGAGAAGTTAAAGTTTTCCCGCCGGAAACGCACCCTGTCCCCCTTCCTTTCCCTCTCTGCCTCCGTCAGCCCCTTCTGCTCCTCTCGATCCCGCGTAGTTCGCAGGCCGAGCTTTAATCAGTTTTACCGACTCCCTGATTCGTCGGCCGGGATTATTGCGACTCTCTCTCGCTCTCTCGATTTTTCGTTATCGGGGGCGCGAACGTGAGGGGCGCAGCAAGAGCGGCCCGGCAAGGAAATTGGAAAATGTAGATTAGGACGTGCGTCGAATATAGACACACAATCCGACATGGAATTTAATAGCGGAACTCTCGCGCGCAGGGGCAGGGGGCAGCGCGCGCTGATTTGCGATGATCAAGTGTAAATAGAATCCGATTCGTTAGGTTCGTCGGCGGTGACGGGACGCGAGCAATACGTCGAAAATTCAGTTACCCACCAGCGTTTAATATCGAAATTCCGTCCTAGCCGAAGCCCTTCAAACGACTACGCTCGAAAATAATTGTCGAAAGAGTTCCGTGAAACTGCGCGAACAACATTTGTTATTTTCCGTGCGCGCGCGCGGGGTGCAACGGAAATATGGAAATTTCCGTTGTCGTCGTCGAAAAATTTTTAATTCGTTAATTAGCGGAAATTGCTCGTTTCCTCCGACCGGGTGGAGAAAAAAGTAGGTTGCCCGGACAAGAGTTAATTTTAACCCCGTCCTCTCTCATCGCGCACCGCGATCCTTCCGTCGACGAACGCGCGACACGCCGGCACGGAATAATAGCGCGAGACGGTTAGGTGGCTGCTTTGTATTTCTCGAGGGGGCTGCTTCCGCTTTTCCTCACTCCGGCGAAGCGTGCCGCCACTCGAGCCCGGCTCCTTCAAGCCGTCGCCGTGGTAGGGTCGCGGCGGAGAAACCAGAGGACGGGTGGACGACTTTGTCCCACTTTGTATCCTTCGCGCCCTCCCGCGGGACGCATGATTAGCCATTTGTTTCGTCGTTTAATTTCGAGCCAGCCCTTTCGCTACTCTCGTCTCCAATGCCGCCCGCCCGCTTCTGCTTCTGCCGCCACCAACTTCGTTCAGAGACCCCGGCCGAGACTGCGAGAGCGCGTCACCATCAAGGACCATTCTCCGCATCGAGTTTGTCTATTAACAGAGGCGTTGATTAAATGCAGGCGAGAGTCCTGGAGGAGACGGATGGGCTCACGCGCGCTCTTCTCGTAATCTTCGCGGCCCTCCGACTCTTCCTTCCGTTCCTCCTCACGTCGTTTTCCCTCTTTCTCTCTGCCTTCCTCGGTCTCACTCTCCGGCGTGCTCGTCGACAAAGTGGGCGCAATGAAGACTGATGCGGTTCGTGGAGCGAGGCTGTGATAACCGGGGGTAAGTCGCGCGCGGAAAGGAAGACGAAGAAAAATCGGGAATGGAACGCGGCGGACTTAACAAGCTCTGAATAACTAGCTGACGAACATCTACTTTCACGAACCTTGGCGTCTCTGCGAGACGACGTTTGATTGTGATCGCACGTCAATCAGACGTGGCGTAAAAAACGTGGCGCTTTGATAAATTTTCCTTCTTTTGATCAGCGAGAGGTAGTTGTTACGCGTTACTACGAGCTAACGCTCTCCACGAAACGACACGACGGTTGAATAAAAGTACCAGCCACGTAATTAATCCTGGACATTCTTATTGTTTTAAGATCTTCAAATACGGATATTTAAACTTTTAACGTAAAATATATACAAACACTGAAAGAAAAAATATCCAAAACATAAAAAATATTCGGTGGATACTAATAACATATTTACTTAAATTCTTTACTTAAGTAGAATATTGGTGCTTTTAATCTTAACAGCGAGCATTTCGCGGCTCTAGTCGCATTCGACATGTCAACTCGTGGTCGGGATGCGCGATCAGAACTCATCTCGTTCCGTGACAGCTCCGCGTCTCTTTCAACGGCCTTCACTTTACATCGTCGCCAAGCACCCTCAGCACCTATCTCTGTCTCACCACATGGCTCTGTACCGCCTCAATATATCAAACTTCCGCCGTCGGAGCGTCAGACAATCGATTTAATCGCTGAACCGTGAGAGAGATTGCGGCGGCCTCCAGCCGAGCGCCGCCGCATAATGTAAAATCGACTACGAGAGCCCGGCTGGCGGGCGCGACGCGACGCGATGCGATTCGAACGCGGAAAAATTCGATTTCCTTCGCCATTTTCTCGCGTCACCAAACTCCGACTCTGCCGCTGTGCGAGATAAAACAGTTTCCTCGGCGCAACAAGCAATTACTGCAAGATTAAAGGACGATTCCGCGCGCTCGTATGCGCGTAAGTGAGCGACCGCTGCGTCAGGAGATTGCGTTTCGCAATTTTTTACACCACGTCTGATTTTTCGGGTAAAAATACTGGATACATTGTCAGACTTTCAGATGCACAATCAAACATAAATAAAAAAAAAGCCAATAAGAACCACGCAAGATGATGACTGCGAAACACACATATCAATATATTAACCAACTTGATCACTCTCATGCCACGTTTGAAGTATAGGTTCCGAAATTTTGATTGTATTTTTGACTTTACTATAAAATCTCCTACTATGATACTCTGAAGTCTTTCTTCTTTCCGATTCAGAAGGATCGGAATGATGATCAAAACATTGAAATGCTTTTTCAAAGCATTTGATATTTCAATTCTTCGTTTATTTGTGGATATGTGTTTTGTAATTGACATCTTATGTGAGTTTCAATTAGCTTTTCTGATCCACGTTCCATTTTCGGACTTCATTTATGATGAATCGCGTGATCTATGTCGGAGCTTCCAGCAAAAAAGCAACCGCGCAAATTGTTCACGTTCTAATGATCGCGACGAGTGAACCATTAAGGGATTTTACGATGTCGGATCGTAAAGCGATAAGTGGATACTTATTAAAGCCGCCTCAAGTTCTGTAACTTCGACATCGTCAACTGAAAACTGCAATAACCGTTTACTTTGTACTCCCATCATGTGATATCTATATGAAAAAGTTTGAAAAAAAAAACTTACACCATGATATTCACGAAACATTTGTTTTAGGAATTTCTTGTGTACCGCGTATAAACTTTTGAAGTTCCCGAGACGAAGTTTTCATTCTATTTTCGATTTCAGTATTTCATTTAACGCCAACTTTGATACTCTGAAGTCTATATCAATCTATTTTAATTCTTATTTAATTTAATTTTTATTCTATTCTATTTTTGTTCTGTTAACTTTGTTGATGGATCCTCTAGAACCTACAAGTGACATTTAGTGTGTTCCCTGTCATTTAGAGGTGCTAAGTGGGACTTTAGTTTCCATGTATTAAACATACACTGGTCCTTCAGAATATTCAAATGTTAGGAAGTTCAGGTTGAAAGTAGCTGAAGTTTCGATTTGGATTGTTTTGAGTGCGTCAAACGCTTCGTGTCTCACGGAGCGTTGTAGGTTGTAGATTTGTCATTCAGTCTAAACGAGTAATCACGGCAGAAGGATGATATCGCATTCCTGAAGCCCGGGACAGATCCCCGAAGATGCATAAACAAAGTTTATCGGCAATTTTTCAAGGATGCGCTAAGCGTAAACAACGCGAACAACTTCGGCCGAGTCGCGGGTAGTTGTTGCGCGCTTCGTGAATAACTTATGTGGCGTTGTGGTTTTGTGTCCTTGGTATCCTCCGCATTCCCCATTAACCGAGATTCAGCGCGCGAACGGCAAGACAAACTGAACTTAATCCGTGGTAAATTATATTCGCGACGGAAAGGGCGGGACGCCGCGGCGATAACCGCGCGATATCTGGCGAGTTGCGCGAACGTCTCTCCGTCTGTCTTCCCTGGAGGAGGTGGTGGAACTCGTGAACCAGCGCGAAGTTGTTTCGGACTCTTTTTCCTCGCGCGGCCTATCTCTCATTCGGAGATGATACCGAACTTATAACTCAACTACGCGAGTCGCGATGATAAAGCCGACTCGATGGCGCTCCATTCCCTCTCTCGTCGCGCGGTTTTTCCAACTCGCCCAGCGGGACTTTGGGTAAATTGCGACACGAGTTCGGTTATTTATGCGCCCGGTGAGACGGACTTTAAGACTCGTCGCGAAGAAAGTTTGCCAGTGACAAGTTCGCAAAATTATTTTTTCATTGAATTTGGCTTCTCTTCGAGTTGTTTCTGCGAGAGGGAGAGAGGGAGGAGGAAGGAATGAAGCGAGCGCACGCGCAAGAGAGACAGAGAGGGAGAGAGAGAGAGAGAGAGAGAGAGACGCAATCAAAGCGCGTTGTTTCCAATTTAATCCTCCTACGTGTACTCTTTTTTGTCCTCCCTATCTCCTCCTGAAATGGGTGCAAAATAATATCGTTGCGGCGGTACGAAACGCCCGCGGTTAAACGGAGTTCGGGGAGATTATTGTCCGCGTGTCTCTCTCTGAGCGGAGCTCAAACAGTGTCCCGGCGATGAAAGTTTTTACACACGAGATGAACAGGGACACCATCGCACGCGGCGAATACTCGATTCGCGATTATTATTGCGCGCGATTATTGCGAACTACCTGCGCGCGAACTATCCACTCTAGATGTTATTTTGCCGTAGATTGAGGTAAGTACTAAGAGTGAGGTAGACGGCTAAATTACGCGAGCTCATAAACTCGGTCAGAGAAGATATTCCGGGTTGTGCATTTTATGATTGAGAAATATCTCGTCGCACTGCCGACGACGCGACGTACGCTGAAAACGCGAATTAAAACAAGCGTCGAGAATCGTCGGAAGAATCGGTGAGTAAAAACGCGAGCGTAATGTGTTTCGTCTCTCTCCGCTTTTTCAGAGCCAAATTTTGTGGGCTCGTACGACATCGACAACCACGTGTTCTTCTTTTTCCGCGAGACCGCGGTCGAGTACATCAACTGCGGTAAGAGTGTGTACTCCCGCGTGGCCAGAGTTTGCAAGAGGGACACTGGCGGCAAAAACATACTCGCGCAAAATTGGTCCACGTACCTCAAGGCCAGGCTGAACTGCTCGATACCCGGAGAGTTTCCATTTTATTTCAACGAGATACGTGAGTATACATGAAATACGCAACAGCCGCGTGTATATGACACATTTCTCGTTGTGTAATTTACAAAGTTTATTGGGTCATATCTTGTCAAGTTCAAAACTGATCATTTTTTGTTTCGATGACCACTTTCCATCTCAATTTATATCAGTATCTAGAGATGACATGCATGAAGCATTCCTTTTTGAAAGAAAAAAAAAACGCTTTTATACATCAATACAACGCCGACACACGCCGTGACCGATATGGCGTGACGTGTAATTTACGTTATTGCACTTCTCTGCCACCACTCAGAGAGCATTTACAAAGTGCCGGGCGATGACACGCGTTTCTACGGCACCTTCACCACCTCAACGAATGGCTTAATGGGCTCCGCGATATGTTCCTTCCACATCGACGCCATCCAAGAAGCTTTTCGCGGAAAGTTCAAAGAGCAAGCGACTAGCAGCAGCGCGTGGCTGCCGGTCTTGTCCAACAAGGTTCCGGAACCGCGACCGGGCCAATGCGTCAACGACACAGAAACGCTGCCGGACACCGTCCTGAATTTCATAAGGTCTCACCCGTTGATGGACTCCGCCATCTCGCATGAGAATGAGAAGCCAGTCTTCTACAAGCGAGACGTTATGCTCACGCGACTGGTTGTTGATAAGCTGCGCATCGACTTCGTGGGCAACGATCTGGATTATACGGTCTACTACGCTGGATCCAGTAAGAATTTGTTCTATATCTACATATATCTGATTGAGTTAAATCTCTGAGCGTGATGACCGAATTTCCTTCAACTCAATGTTCCTCAATGAAAATTGAGGCTTGAAAGATTATAAGACAAAATGAATTTGCTAACAATTCATTGAAACTTGCATTACATATAAGTTGAGATATTATTTAACTGCTCGCGTAATAGAACAAGCTTGGCTATTCGAGAATTGAGACATTTGAAACTAAAGTTGACACATGAAAAAAAAATTTTGTTGGACTAACTAAATGTCTGGTGAAATATGAACGAACCAGAAATGTTGTTTGGTTAACCACAATCTTGTAACTTCGTTTGAATAGAATTCTAGTAACTCTTCAACAGGAATTCGTTTATATTTCACTAAACATTTGATTAATCCAATCAAATTTTCTTCTGTGCACTTTTTATATGTGTTCCTTAGAGTTGACGTGTTATTTTCAATTTTTAGTTTTAAAAGTTTCCCTCAAAAAAGACGTTTTGGAATGCAACTTTAGATAATAAAATTAATACATAAAAACATACATAATTTTGTTCGATAAACAATAAGTTTACTTTGATAAACCTAAAAAAGGGATAGTTTCTTTAATGGATCATTAACAATACGACACTGAATCTGACAGTCTCCCTAAACACACGTGTCCGTTTTTTATCGCATGTTATAGGTGACGGTCGCGTTCACAAGGTCGTGCAGTGGGTTGACAGTAACGGCGAATCCCAGTCGATCTTACTGGATGTTTTCGACGTGACGCCCGGCGAGCCGATACAAGCGATGGAAATCTCAAAGGAGCATAAGGCTCTCTACGTGGCGTCGGATCATCGGATAAAGCAGATCGATCTGGTAATGTGCACCCGACGATACGACAACTGTCTGCGATGCGTCCACGACCCGTACTGCGGGTGGGATAAGGATACGAATACGTGCAAGCCCTACCAACCGGGGTAAGTGCCTGTTGTATCCCCTCCGCGAGCGTGATACGACTGCGCGATTTTGAATATTACCGGAGCGATTTGTTATTCTTGATAATTTTACGTAACTCGGCCGCGCTCATTATGAGAGAAAAATGAAATGCATTCGATTTCCGTCGCGCTTTAGCAGTTTAATTACGAATTATGACGCATGAATTCCAGAATAAAAAGCGCTCGTGCCGAATTTACGCGTCGTGCATTTCGGTTAGCGAGATATTCATTTTCGCCGGTGAAACGAGATATTTTTGCAAATTCAACGGGGAAAAGGGAGGCAAGGGCAGGAAAGAAGGAAATTGGCGCATCAAAATTCAATTCCCGCAAAATATTTCGAAATAAAATCACGAGAATTCTCGCGCACACGCGCGAGCATTTCGAATCACGCGGTCGCGAGTGATGGAATTGTCGTGTGACGTTTGAATTTCGTTTTCCCTTTCTCGCTTCAGACTTCTTCAGGACGTGTCGAACAGTACGGCGGACGTTTGCGACAGCAGCGTCGGCAAGCGGAAGCTAGTTGTCACGTGGGGTCAGTCCGTGCATCTGGGTTGCTTCGTGAAGATGCCGGAAGTGCTGGCCAACCAGGAGGTACGGTGGTACCATTACAGCAAGGAGAAGGGACGCTATCAGATCGCGTACAAGTACGGCGCCGGCGGGGACAAATTCATCGAGACCTCGGAGAAAGGTCTGGTGATTGTCGGCGTAAACGAGCAGGACGCCGGCAGATACGACTGCTGGCTCGGCGGCGCTCTTCTGTGTTCGTACAACATCACCGTGGACGCGCACAGATGTTCGGCGCCCGCCAAGTCCAATGATTACCAGAAGATTTATTCAGACTGGTGTCACGAGTTCGAGAAGTACAAGACGGCGATGAAGAGCTGGGAGAAGAAGCAAGCGGTGAGTCTATTTGTCGCGCCGCGTTCTTCTATACCGCTCCTTTATTTATAGCCGATCGACTGATAGTCCACTTCGAGAGTCCACTGTCGCGGGCTGCCTTGTCTCTAACCACGAATAAAGTAACGTCCTCGTCCTCGTCGTCGTGTATATGCGGCTAGAATATCTCATCTATTTATATCACTTCGTCTGTCGCGCGTGCATACGCCACGAAACGATTCATTCAACATTTGCATTGCAAAGCGACGTACAATTCAGCAGGCCTCTACGGTATATTTATTTATCTATACGTACGTCGCGATACGGGGACGAAGAGACAAAGAGAAAGAGAGAGAGAGACAGGAAGTGTGTGTGAGAAAGAGAGAGAGAGAGAGAGAGAGAGAGAGAGAGAGAGAGAGA